GGCAACTACGCGTATATTTTGATGTGCATAGGTACATTGCTATGGTAATGACGTATATATAATACATACATATGTATGTAATTTGGCGGTTTTATATTAAACTATTATTTTGAAATAATTATTTTTTCTTGATTGTTGACTGACTTCAATGGGGGTGATTTTAATTAAAAATAACATCACAAAAACCGAGATAGATAGATATATATGATATATAGATAGATGAGATAGATATTACGATGATCGATTGGTACATTTTTATTCCATCACTAGCGGCTCACCCTCGCTTCGCTCGGGTTCGCCTCTAGAAAGACATTAATAGAGATCTATTAGTTCCCACGGGAACCATTCATTTTTCCGGGATGAAAAGTAACCTATTGTTAGACCGGCAATATAAAGTATCAGAATGTTAAATTTTACTAAATTATGTGCATAAGTTGTTGTGTACTAAGCTGTATAAGTTACTATAGTTTTTTTACTGTCCTACGGGAACCCTTTTATTTTCTTGGATGAAAATTGGCCAATTTGTTATTGTCACGTATGAACTATATTATTGTAAAGTTTTATTAAAATCCAATCAGTAGTTTTTGTGTACTAAGTTGAATAAGTTATTATAGTTTTTTAACTATCCCACGGGAACTATTTCATTTTCCGGGTTAAAAAGTATCTAAGATGTTGCCCGGGGGTATAAGATACTACCACGCAAAATTTCATTTAAATCGGTCCAATAGATTCGGAGATTAGCTCGTACAAACAGACAAACAGACAGAGAAACAAAAAAATTTAAAAAATCTGGATGTGTTCTATTTGTCTTCTTACATCCCCCTGACTTGGTTTTTAGCATTTTTTTGCTATGTACAGACATTCGACCTCTACTGTTTTATTATAGTATAGATTTTATCCCACCTGCCGAAATACCTACGCCTGGCAATGCTAGTAATTACTTATATTTAAATTCCATTTCTCCAGATCTAATTGCTCACAGAAAGTGAAATTGGATTTATAATTCTTCAACCCAGACGTAAACCTATAACTTAATATTCTTTAGTATTTTATGAGAAAACTTGTACAAATTGAAAGTCTGAGTGTACGGTTTTATAGTTAAACCTTTTGCAAAAACGATTCCAACACAAAGAGTGCAATAAATATTTTTTAATATGATGTTGAAGGTATATGTACCTTTTGAGTTAAAAAGTATTATTACAAATTCTAATTAATGTTTTGTTATTTTACATAAATATACAATAACTAGCTGCGCCCCGCGGTTTCACCCGCGTTAAATGTGATTATACATATGTTTTATATACCTTCCTTCTAGACGATGAGCATTTGACAAAAGTTTTACAATAATGTATGGAAGTCTGACCGATTTATTTACATTTATGATTACTGCTCCACTCCCTTTGGTAGTAGCATGATGATAGCCTATAGCCTTCCTCAATAAACGGGCTGTCTAATGCAAAAAAGAATTTTGAAATCGGATTGGTAGTTCCTGATATTAGGGCGTTCAAACAAACTAACAAACACTGCCCCTTTATAATATTAGTATACGTACAATAATCGGATTATTATATAAATGTGAGTGTTTATATGTGTATGAGAGGTTAAAAATGGCTAAATTATAATTATTGTTAAAAAAACAATAAAAAATCCAGTATGACCATATATTCTGTCCATGTCACGTAGCAAAACGTAGATGGCTAGATCATTAACCATTAGTAAATGAGCGACATGGTTATTGCTAGTCGTACTTGGCCACATGATTGTGCGGTCAGTTTGATGCTTAGATCGATGACATCTATTATTCGGCTACTACAATACTAGCAGGGAAGCTCAGGCAGTAAAAATGACTGAAAATATACAGCGTGTTTTTCTATTGACCAACGTCGGCTTCAATACATTTTGTTACAAGCTACTTGTAGTAATCGCGTGCCAGGTAGCTGAAGTTTCCATATTTGTAATTTTTAACGTTCTTCATGTATTTATATATCTCATATATTACAATAATATCTTATTACATTATTATAAACACTGATACATAATACCATATTTCTAGTGCTTGAACGTAATCGATAAAATACATATATCGATGAACCAATGAATGACATTTTAGACATTGGTTAGCATAGTCATCATATTTTACATCTTTTAATTTAAAATATCTGTATTTATTATAATATATTTATTTAATAAATAAAATAAATGAATTAAAAAGGCAATAATAATGTGTTAAATAATAATTACTGTTTAATTTGATTTATATAAATACGATGGCATTGATGGCCACATTCTGTTGGCCTATAATAATGTTAATGAACAAATGAATATCGGGTGTATATTCCATTAATATATAATAAATATTATTTTGTAAAGATTAAAAAAATATTAAGCTAATTTAATTAAATAAAGTGATTTTGTTGATTCTGTTATTGAACTATTTTAATTGGCAATTGATTGTCTCGGGTAGTTATAAAAATGTGACACTGTCCTATTATTGTTCAGTTCTTAATCAACATTTGTGAAATTAGGAAAAAGAAAAATTGATTGCAAATTGTGAAAAAGTGAGTGCTGGATCATGAAAGTAAAATAATTAGTGCAAGTGGTAGTGTTTTATGACAAATCGCCAACCCAGAAGTTTAGTGCTAAAACATTATTGTTTGATTTTGTGTAATTTATGTGTTGAAATAAAATGATCTTTATTATTATTACAATGGAATAATATTCCAGAATATATAAATGTGGTATAAAATAAAAAAATAAGTACACATACTAATTATAATTTTTGCATTTATATTTTTATTTGATTTAGGAAATATTTTTATAAATTTATTGTCATCAGATTGTAGGATACTGTGATAAAAGTATTTTATGTTATTGTACTGTACAAATAACACAATTCGTTCAGTTATTTCGTCAAATATCGATATATTTTTCGACATTGTCAAGCACTAGTCGATGTCAAATGGACTCACTCGACAGTTTTGACATTTGTTCTGAATGGTATAATCCAGCCATTGTATGATGGTTGTCAGATGTCAACAATACATAGAAATATCGACTATATTTAAAATAGTTGGATAATATGACATTTTATTTTACATTTAATTAAATTTTGTGATAAATAACAATAAATGTAATAAAATAATGTATTTACAAGTGAAAAGAAATAGTGCTGCTTCCGCCGTTATAGTTTTTACACCATTCAACAGAACATTTAGTCATTTTTGGGAGATGTTTTGTTGACAAGTAAATGCTTGAGACTGACACAAAAAACAAGGCTAGAATTCCCTGGTTACTGATAAAACCGGTAAAGGTACGGCCGCTTATATGTCTGGTCCAGTGGTTAATTCGTTCATGGTATAGATTTATTTTGTTATTCTCTCATCGAGCCTTACGAGGGTTTCTCAAATAGCCTAGAAAAAAATCATCTGTCTAGCCGTAGATATGAACTAATTAGCCTAAAAACTCCCGCCGCCTATATAGGCGATAAGCGATAGATAAATATTTATCGCGATTTAGCGAGGAAAGGGTTCCATATCTACAGACGGTCGGGACTTAGAAAGGGTTACAGATAGTGCCGTGATACAAATCATAGTCAATGCGATACACTAGTGTAATAGATATAGGATAGGATTTACAACTGAAGTCTAGCTTTGTGATAGCTTAATTTATAATGATTCAACCCTTTTTAATGTCCTCAAAGCTGGGCAAAGGGCTCTCCTTAATGTGAGTCCACCACGCTGGCCAAATACGGGTTAGCGGACTTCACATGTTTTTAGAAAACTTGCTAGGTTCTCTCAGACATGCAGGTTTTCTCACGATGTTTTCCTTCACTGTAAGACAAGTGGTAGGTTATCATATTGGAAATGATTTAAATGATAATAATTAAAATATCTGACATACGAGTTCCGGGATTTGAACCCTCTTCACTCAGTTACCCAAGCGAGCGTGTTACCACTGGATTGCCACTCCCTGCTTTTGTATGTACATATGTTATGCTATTGCATAGTTATTACTATTTCATAACCAGTTTTTATAATTATTTTTACTATAATCAATATCGCCAAAGAAAACTAAAAACACCTATGGGGATGGCCACCTGACAGAACGCTAAGATACTCGTATGTCATTTAGTTTTATATTAGCGATAGCGAATGTCATGTTGTGTAAGCCCATTATTCTGGGTTCACTACGAAACGAGAGCGAATTTTATCTTATATGGAAAAATACACTGTTAATGTCTTTCCATACGTCCATACTAATATTTATTATAAAGAGGTAAAGTTTGTGTATTGTGAATTTGTGACATTGTAGGGGGTAATCTCTGGATCTACAGAATCGATTTAGATGAAATTTGGTAAGAAAATAGTTTGAGACCTTGAGAAGGACAAAGGATACTTTTTATCCCGGAAATCATTCTTTAAGGGGGTGAAAATGGGGATGAAAGTTTGTACGGGGTATCAACCTATGGACGAACCCGAGTGAAGCGAGGGTGAGTCGCTAGTATTATATATAAGACTCGCGAATTAGGGTTCGTTTCGCTCTTGTACGTCCCTAAGTGTCTTCGGTATTTCTATTATTGTATAACAGGCAATGCCATTATTTGACAAATTTTATTACTAATATTCCTAATAGTAACCTAGGCGTTACTCCAGGTCATGGTTTATTCGTGTATTAAACACCCAAACCTTTCCAGTTTATAAGCGATTGGGTGGCTTTGGATGTTTAATACACACAATGATGATACGTTAAGGAGTAACAAACATACAAACACGTACAAAACTTCGCATTTATGTAGTACTTATAACATAAGAGAATATGTCATTGAACACAAGTACTTTACATTTGACCATTTCAATAACCAAACCATTCACACACCAGGAATCAAACTCAGAATTAAGCGAAAGTAGGCAGTGACAGACTTATATATATATATCACAATTCTTCTTCTTTTGACTTACTTGCTTTGTTATATTAATATAGTTTAATTCTTTATTTTTTAGGCAAAGTGAATTCCCTGTTCGGTCTAGCTGAAGCCATGATGCCACTGGTATACGGACCGCTATATTCCAGAGTGTATATGGCAACTCTCAACGTGTTACCTGGCGCAGTCTTTCTTTTAGGAGCTGGTATGACAGTACCGGCTGTCGCTATTTTTGGGTAAGAAATAAAAAAAAGTGTTTTTAGCACATAATTATTAATGTTATTTGTGATTGCACACTTGTATCTTTGTTTTAATATACTCATTAATATGTAAATAACAATTATTTAGAAAAATATATAAAGAAAAGGAGAAAATACTAACGTATTGCATGACTACATCGTTCTTAATGCGAAGTTTAGATAAACAGTTTGCAGAAGAATCGAACCCATGATTACCTGTTAGATAGGCAATGTCTAGATATAATTAAGCCAGATAATTATACAAATAAAACTATTGAGTATTTATAAACATTAAAGTTTATTGAACTCATTGTCTATGGAACGGAAACAACCTATGATAAAATATGTATGTATCTATAGTGACGAATGTAAATAACAGATCGAGGACGGCCACGGGACTTGTAATCTAAATCTACTAACGCTTACAATTTTTTTTTTCATTTTATTTATATCTATTTATTTTTTATATTTTTAAATATATCTGATTATATTCTAAATGAAAACCTCAGTTTAGTTATTTTTAACATTTTAGTGCCTGGAAGTCGTTTTTGTGTATTTTTTTAGAAGTTTTTATTTAATTTAGTAAATTTTCGCGACGAGCGCGAGTTGTCTTCTTCTTCGTCCTACGACATACGAGTACTATCTTACCTTATATCCGCGCTTCGAATAAAAAACTTTGGCTGACAAATTAAATGAAAGCAATCGTTATTTAGGTTCGTAAGTCCTTAAGACCGTGAATTCCTACACAATTAATGTAAATTGACATTTAAATGATTAACTGTTGAGTGAAACTGAAGAGATATATATGAAATATATACATTAGATATATATATATATAGATATATATATATATATATATATATATATATATTTATATATATATGAAGTATATAGAGGTGCGTATAATTATATATTGTTTGCTCTTAATGAGTGTACTCAGCCCTTTTTAACGTCCCACTGCTGGGCACGAGCCTTCTCAATGCGAGGGGGATGAGGCCATAGTCCACCACGCTGGCCAAGTGTGGGTTGGCGGTCTCTGAATAAGTAGAAAAGATTAATTAAATATCAGAGTACTTATTCTAACGAGTTCATAATATTTGCATTTACATTTATAATATTATTATATCTCTCAGCTTCTCTCCAATAAAGCACACAATTGTTGACTTGTTTATGGTATTCTCGCCTTGCTAGCGACTGATGCTTCCACTCGACCGGTTGTTTGAATTCGTTAATGAAGCACTTTAATATTAATAAAATTAGTCAAAATATATTGCATATGCTATATTTAGTATATTTTTATGTAAATAATACAAACTTTACTTTTGTGATTATATTTAATTTACCTTTTGGATGAATACTAATGGCATTATTATGCCAATTAATGAATGCCTCCACGACCGCGGACACGCCGGCGTTACAGTTAACAATAGATTTCTTAGAAATTTAATTAATTTCTTAGAAATTTACCTGGAGGTGATATATAAAAAGTTCCAGGTGAAATTAGATTAAGAAAGTTTATGAAAATTAAAAATGGCTATTGTTTTACAGTTGGATGTATTTCGAACAACGAGAAGATAACAAACAAGTGGAGGAAATGGAAAACGTGAACATATAGTAGCCTTATTTATAAAAATTATGTAGGAAAGAATAAAAATTGTCTAAAAACGTGCCTTTCATTACAATTCCAATCTGACTTAATGATTATTGTTTTGTTTATTATTGACTAACAGGTGTCAATTGTTTGAGTAGTCATCGTCCGAGTTTATTTACAAAGCGCTATGAGTGTTTGATGGTTTTAAAACTGATATGACAATATAAGGATGCTTGTAAGCGAGCTCCGGACAATCGGACACTGTGTTCTATGCAGCGATGACGTTGCCTGCAGCTTGCATCGCGAGTTTTATTTAGGAAATGTGATTAATTATTTTGAATATCGATTTCTAGAATTTATTTAATATAAATTTGAATAGATAATAGTGTTATAAATTGTAAACATGGAAAACGATAACATGAATACTGTGGATAAGTCCGGTGAGCAAGAACCGCTAAAATCGGAATCCAAAACTAATATTCAAGAGTTAAGTTTTTGGGGTAAATTAAAATATGCGAAATCGAATATAACCGTGGAGCCGGTTTTAGGGTTTTTCGTCATGCCCAGTGTTTTAGCCATGTTAGCAACTCAAAACCTTAATTTAGATAAGGCTTGTAGAGTCAATTTAGAATTTGAAGATCAAATATGTACCGATTTAAGACTTAGAAAACGAGATAATCACACTTTCGAAGAAGACGAGGTTCAAAAGCTGATCGCGTCTGTACTGGCTTGGAAAAGTATCATACACACAGCAGTACCTACTATTCTTATGTTGTTTATTGGAGCTTGGAGCGACAAAACGGGAAGAAGGAAAATTTGTATGCTATTACCAATCTTTGGGGAATTCATGACGTGCGTCCTAAATATGATGAACACGTACTTGTTCTATGAAGTCCCTGTGGAGTTGACTGTTTTCATGGAGGTCTTATTCCCGTCTCTCACTGGTGGCTGGTACACTATGTTGTTAGGTACTTATAGCTACTTGAGTGATATAACTTCAAAGGAAACGAGGACTTTCAGATTAGGTATCCTGAGTTTGTGTATGACTGTAGGTTTTCCTATAGGGATGGGGTTGAGCGGTGTGCTTTTAAAGTTCACGGGATATTATGGGGTGTTCTCTCTATCCGCTATTTTTCAAATAATAAACTTCTTATATGTCATGTTTGCAATCGAAGATCATAGATGGCTGGAAAATAAGAATAAGGTACGTTGTTATCGTTTCTTACTATTGAAATAGTATTGACAAAGGTTTTCCTTATTGATTTTCACACATCTTATATGATTTTGCTCGTGCTAGTTTTGTTATAAAAGAACCAATTGGTTGTAACTTAGATGAGATATTCAACGTAAAAGTGGTATAACTGTAAAATATTTGTTAAGTCAAGAAGTAAATTAATAAGTAAATCTGTATAAATAGTAAATTGTATTAATAACATTAGTAGAAAAACGTTTAACTCGCTAATTATCTATTATCTACACATATTATAAAATTGTAACTAAGCCGAATCTGTACATTAAATATTTTTTGGAAAATCTTATTGAATTAAACATTATTATCGATACAGAGACCGAATCTATAGTTATTAGAATTTTTGTCTGTCTGTTACCGCATCACAGAAAAACCGCTGGAGGGATTTTGATGAAATTTGGTATGGTGATAGCTGGCTATTCGGGTCAACATATAGGATACTTTTTACCGCGGGAAAATGTCTCATTTCTGAGAAAAAATACAAAAACTGCAATGTAAGAGTATACTAATATGTAAAACCTGAGAATTTGGTTCTGGGTCATCTGAACGCGGGCGGAGCCGCGAGCAATGCTAGTATATAATAAAAGTGTAACTAAGCGCTATCTGTACATGGATGAATTTTGGAAAAAACTATTATTAGGAATCTTTGTTAACGCAATAGAACCCTAAACAACGATTTTCAGAATTTTTGTCTGTGCGTTTGTCCGAGCTAATCTCTGAAACGGCTTAACTGATTTCGATGCGATTTTCACTAATGTATTGTGGTAAGCTTCACTTAACATTTAGTATTTGTTTTATTTCAATCGGTTCATAAATAAAAAAGTTATCTTAATTTAAAGAATCAACTAGGGACAAGCCCTAGTGAAGTGAGGGTAAGTCGCTGGTCATTATAATAAATCTAATTTTAATTTTAAAAATATACATACTTGAAAGTTATGTAATACAATTCATGAAAGTACAGGCCAACTTTTTTTGTATGCTAATGGTTCGGAACACAACCTAATATAATAATGATTTATTTTTATATATACTCCAGTACGTATTAAAGTAGAAAATACTGTTTTAATTTCAGAAAAAGCGTACAGGATGTGTTGGTTTCTGTATAGAATTCTTCGATTTCCACAGTCTTAAGAAAACGTTTCAGATAGCATTTAAAAAGGGCACGAATAATAGAAGATTGAGGATATGCCTCATCCTGACCGTAGTGTGTTTAAGTTTTGGACCATTGTGGGGTACGTATATTATATTATGTATTATTTTTTAACTACGACACGTTTGGCTCAGTTTGTAGTGACCTTATTGCTGTGCTAGTGGTCGCGGGTTCGAGACCCGCTGGAGGCATACATTTGTGTGATGAGCACGAATGTTTGTACTCCAGTCATGGTTGTTTATATTTAAAATATGTATGTATTTAAAAGTTATTTATGTGTAGTGTATCAACTATCTGGTCTCTATCTATAACACAACCCATAGTACTAGATTGTGCTGTGTGTTAAGGTCTTAACATAATTTTTATAACATAAGATCACTCTCTTGTCCGTCTGTTCGTGTGTCACCGTCGATTTTCTCAGGAACGGGTAGACCTAACAAGTTGAAATTTATACCAGATACTGAGGTCTATCGTCCCTATTAGGTATATAAAAATCAAGGCTCTGAGTCAACACGATAAAAAGAGATGGGAAAATTTAGATTTTCGCGACTTGTAAGTATCAAAATTTACCTGAATTTTCATTTTTCTTATTTTTCGGAATTTTCTCTTTACTTGTGCTATAAGACCTTGCTTTTAACCAATATTGACAATTCTAGGTCAACCGGAAGTACCTTATAGGTTTGGGGTCGAAAACCTATATGGTAGTTCCCGTTGACCTAGAATCACGAAATTTGGTAAAAAGCAAGGTCTTACAGCACAAACAAAGGAAAAATTCCAAAAAATAAAAAAAAATTGAAAATTTAATTTTCCTACAAATTTGTACGGAACCCTCGGTGGGCGAGTCCGACTCGCACTTGTCAGGATTTTTTGCATTACGCTTAATTGCGTTATTCCCATACATTTTTAATTTTCTATTAGCGATAGCGGTGTTACTTTATTTAAGACTCTGCGAGAACGATGAAGTCTATATCCATTATCCACCATGAAATATACATACATTTTCTCTAATAGCAACAACTTTGATAACTATTACTATAAGTTGGCGCCGACATCTCTATTTTTTTTCATATTTTAATACAGTTCTATCAGTCAAGATTGCATAAACAAATTGTTTTATAAACACGAAATTTTGTGAAGATTTATGGATGTATGTTTGTTACTTTTTACGCAAAAACTAGTTAACGGATTTTGATTAAACTTTATAGTAATAAAGCTTAAATATCAGAGTATTTTTTACTCTATGCTAGGCTAGGCTATAATTTATAAGGATACTAGCGTTAGAAGTTTTAAAGTTCTTTTTTACTTTTCAACCGACTTCCTCAAAAAGGAGTAGGTTCTCAATTCGGCTGTATTTTTTTATGTTTGTTACCTCAGAACTCCGTCATTTATTAATCGATTTGGACAATTTTTGTTTTGTTTGAAAGTGTATACTTCTAGATTGGCCCCATTTAAATTTCAAAAAAAAAATACCACCCCTAAGGGGGGAAAAATAGCTAATGATGAATTAAACCTACTTCTAATTGTCATATTGACTTGAAACTTTGCAAGTGTTTCTATTTCCGTTGATAGTACAGTGGTTCGGTATTGTTGACCTGATCTGATGGTAAGGCCAGAAGGTGGATAGGTGGAACTCTTCAACGGCTAATAGTATATACTTTGAGTTTGGGTTTATTTTGTTTGATTTGACAAGCCTAACACGTTAGAATTCTTACTTTGCTACTACTGTCTACACTAAAAAGGGAAAAATAAAAACTTAAAAAAAAAAAAAACTGTCTTAAACAAAAACACTAAAAAGTAAAAAATAACTGATTGGTAGTTTTCATTTACTATACATACCTAATCAAATAATTTCGAAGTCGGTGCCAGCCGATACAAAGCAAAGTACACCGATAGTAAATGAAAACTACCAATCAGTTATTTTTTACTTTTTAGTGCTTTTGTTTGAAGTCGGTTTTTATTTTTTTGTTAAAAGTTTTTATCTATTTTCTTTTTACTTAAATTAAAAAAACAAATCATACCTACAATGCCATTGTCAATTGTTTAACAATTAATATATCATGAAACGGACCAATTAGCAGTTCCAAGAAGTAAATAATGATGCTACTTTTTATTGTTAAAATCAATTAGGGAAAAATAATTTCTATGGTTTAAGTGTACAAAGTTGAATTTTGATATAGCAATTGCTTACTACAATATGAGTGAATGAAAATATATATATTGATTTTAATTATATTTTGTATTGCAACGGTATTCGGATTTCACGTTTTTTCGAAGTCTTAAATCGATACTCCTATATTCGATTACATAGTAAATTAGTTATTTAGTTACAAATGAAGCCAGTAAAAGGGTATTATTATAAAAACAGACTGGCAACTTATCCTCACTTTGCTCAGGTCTATTTCTAGCACTTTAGAAATACGTAAATTCGGATTTTGCCTAATTTTAAAGGGTTTCTATTTTCTTGCTGGAATTCTAAATATTTCCAAAATAAAACATAACCTATACAATCTCTTCTACCTTTCAGTAAAAGTTTCATTACAATCGGTAAAGCCGTTGCAAAGAATACAGACATTTTTTTTCAAGTGTTCTTTAGGTACTATCTACTGGTATCATATAAATAACTCTATGTACTCGAGAAAATAGTTATGTTGAAATTACAGACAGACACCTCCATTTTATTTATTTGTATATATATATATATATATAGATTAAACTATAGCATAAACTAATAAATATAAATCTCAGTAGTAGCAGCACACATACGGCTAAATACACTATTTCCTGTAAAATTCAAAATATAAGTCAAGTTTTCCTAATGAATTATTCTTCATTAATAAAGAATTATTTATTATATAAACTAACATATCAACTTTGTTCTCCATGGGACAAAAAGTAGTTTATCTTCCTTATATTATGAGGAAGAAGCTCATTTTAAAATTGAAGGCTCTTAGAATTTTATTTAGAACTAGCATTGCCCGCGGCTCCGCCCGAGTTCAAATGATCAAAAACCAAATTCTTAGGTTTTACATATTAGTATACTCTTACATTGCAGTTTTTGTATTTTTTCTCAGAAATGAGACATTTTCCCGTAGTAAAAAGTACCCTATATGTTGACCCGGATAACCAGATATCACCATACTTACCTAATTTCATCAAAATCCCTCCAGTGGGTTTTCTGTGATGCGGTAACAGACAGATAGACAAAAATTCTAAAAACTATAGATTCGGGCTCTGTATCGATGACAATGTTTATTTCAATAAGATTTTCCTAAAAATATTTAATGTACAGATTCGGCTTAGTTACAATTTTATTATACGTATAGATTATATGTATGTGCTACCTATAATAGCTTCCATAATATTATTTTTATTAAAAAGATAAAGGTCAAAAGATCAATTAATTTCATTTTCAAAAAAAACTTGTTTTTAGTATTAAGAGAAATAGAACGAATGTGTACATACATACTAATAATGTAAAGTAAAAGTTCGTTTGTTTGTTTGTCCTTCTTTCACGTTGAAATAGAGTGACAGATTGGCGTGATTTTTTGTGTGAAAATGATTGGAGGGCTGGAGAGTGACATAGTCTACTATTTACCGCGAGAGATTATCTTATTCCCACGGGAAAACATACCTATGTATAATATGTATAGTCTATCTACATACTTAACGACTTTAGGTTTATTCTAGTTTGGGTGTCAGAGGCTTCAACAGGTTTATGTAACAACAAACAATTGTGTCAATAAAGATTCTATTCTAAAAGATTCTATAAAGATTCTATCTATTCCATACTAACCGTTGAAACGTACCCGACGGAAGAACCCGAGCGAAGCGAGGAGAGTCGTTAGTTTTTAAAAAACATTGGTCTTTTGTGACCTTATTAAGATAAAAGTTGTGACATTTTGAATTGAAGTGTTTTTTAGTCGTATCTGATGTTTTTTTTTAATATTTTTAAAACTAGAAATATATCTATTCATATTATATAGATATAGAGAGCTATACTTAAATCTGGTTTAAACTATTTTATTATTATTAAAAAAGAGATATTATATTTGATCCCAAATCTTATTCCGGAATTGATTATGTACCTCCTCCATTTATTTTCGACTCGATCCATTAAAATAAAGCTTAGCAATGTTTTTAAATTTACACTATGTAGGTACTTACAAAGTTTAGAATTAATAAAAAGATTAGAACTACTTCTTGCGTATAAAAGTAGCTTTTGAATTTATAATGTACCTATCACAAAATATCGATATCGATTTATTCCGTTATTACGTGAGAAAATAAATTAACATTTAATATATTTTCATATTTATAATACTTATTATTACATTAATGAAGATGTTGTTATATCTCAGAATAACCTTATAAGAAGCTTAGACAAGGTGCCTTTGTACAATCATTAAAGAACAGAAATTTAAAAATATATATGAGTAATTCATCATATAAGGAGGTAAAATAGGGGATGAAAGTTTGTATGAAACTACCTTTTTAGAGATTTTTTGTAGTTTTAGCGCGAGCGAAGCTGCGGGCTCTGTTAGTATTATTTAAGTATTATTCATATTTTGTATATACCTCTTTGATATTTTTAAAGTTATATTTCTTTTGGCACGTTTAGAATAAATTATGAGAGTAAAATTTTAACGATGCGCGCGCACACCGACATCCAAAAAGCGACATGATGAAGTTACCTGCATTCCTTTCACAAACACAGAGTTGTGACATACGGAATGAAATCTTTAGCTATTTTTGTTCTGTTACGCCAAAGAAGTATAACTTCTTACGTGCGTATATAAGTATACACACACGTTTTTTTTATTATACTCGTACAACAATCATATTTATAATTGAATACAATTTTTGAAACTTCTATTTTTAACATTAGATTGACATCTTGTCTAAACTCCCTACATTCACCGATCGATTGTCACTTTTTATCTGCACGTTTCACATGAAATATTTTATTGGAAATTTGATCCACTGTCATTGATCGATTAAACAAACGACTTTGTAATATAATATACGGTTTATAAACAATAGGTAAGGTTGCACTGTGCCTGCCCGAGCGTTACCGACTTATTA